GCACACAAGCAATAGATTATTTTTGTTGGGTGTGCGGGTGTATGCAAGGTGTGTGAAGGAGTGGTGGGAGGGCTGTTAGAGGGTTACATCAGCTGCCCTTCTTAATAGAGCTCTACATTATTTTTTGAGCCAGGGACTTTCACTGGCCACAGATCTCACCGATACAAGTAGGCTGGCTTCATTGAGCTCCAGGGATCGGCCTGTCTTCTCTCACCTCCAGTGTTGGGGGTTACAGGCAAGCACAGCTGCATCAGCGTTTATGTGGTTGCCAAGGTTCTGATCAGGTCCTCCTGTTTACACCGTGAGCACTCTACCTATGGAACCTGTTTACCTATGAAACCATCATTTTGAACCATCTCTGTGGCCCAAAAGGTAACTTTTAAATTACGTGTGTCTGTTGCTTTCACTACAGAATTACTTACTGTTTGTCTGAAATTCAAGTCCAGCACACTGTCTGTGTTTATCCAACGACCCTTTTTCTGGTATATCAGGTCACGCTCAGATAAAGAACTTCCAGTTAAGCAGGACCTAACGGGCAGGGGCGTTCTCCACACAGTCAATCTCACTTCCTCTTGCAGCTTCCACAGAGTCTTCAGGGCAGGCCCAGGGGACCCAGTCCCTGCTGCTCCAAGGGAACAAAGCTGTCCCTAAAGAAGAGGGCCTTCTTATTCTTCCTCGATCCCTCAGATGCCACGGAAACCTGTGTCCTTGTCATTACACCTTTGCTTGCGCTTAGTGGCCGCCCTGCAGTCGGAAGACTTCTTTCTGACAACTTACATACATGTCCACCATCTTGATTTTCACCTGGCCAGGGTAGCAGGGAGGTTCCACGGACTCAGAACTTTCCGTCCTAAAGCTGTGAAAGTCAAGCTGGAATGAGCCGTCACTCTACTATCCCAGGAAGATCACCTTGCACAGGACCGCTGCACTCAAGGGTTGAACACTGATCACTGCAGGTGTCACAGTCCTGAGTGCCTCCATTTTCTGGCAGTGCCTGAAGGAGGAAGGGGCAGTTTATGTTGTGTCTAGATTCAAGACAATGAGCTCAGCTCTCCACAGCAAGGAGGTGTGTGGCTGTGTGTGTGTGTGTGTGTGTGTGTGTGTGTGTGTGTGTGTGTGTGTGTGTGTGTGGTGTGTGTGTGTGTGTGCTCGTGCACGCGTGTGCAGTGTGCATAGATGTGTGTATCTGCATCTCTGGGAATGTGCACAGGACAGATGTTGGAGTAGTACAGGATACCCTCAAACGTTCACGTGAAAACAGATACCCTTACTTATGAGCAGATGGAGTTTGGCCCTGGGAAACTCAACCCAGCAATTTTTCTAAGAATAATTTAAAAGAGACGGTGAGAGCATCTGAGCACTCAACAATTTGTCAAGTTATAAAGCTTGTATACAATTAAATATGGTGTAGTCATTAAAACTAACAATTGTGGTAAATACTCATGATGTACAGAAGTTAGCAGCAGAATCAGGTGCCATTCTGCCTTCTCTTCCTCAGAGCCGATCAGGTTCACAGCAAGTTGAGAGGAAGGCAGAGCGATTTCCTGGGTGTTGCGAGGAAAGATAAGTCAGGAAGCATACATGGCCCTCAGAACCAATTATTTCCCAAACCCTCTCTGCCTGGAGGCCAGTAGGGGAATTGCAGGGGAGGCTGTATTCTGTTGCTGAGCCGGAGACTCCTAATTTCGTCCATCACCATCTTTGGGCCAAATCTCATAAGAAGGGAGAAGGTACTAGAGGCTTGTAGATAAGTCTGTGCTTCCTTACCTATACCCATTGATTTCCTTGAGGGAGTGGCTCTGGGGCAGATGTAGGACATGATATGAGAGGGTAGAGCTGTTTCACCATGAGAAATTCCCCTCAGTCCCAGAACCACTAGGGAAGACTCTCAGAGAACTCTGGCTTCCAAATGGGACACTGGATCTTGGCTACAAGAGAAAGCCATGGGCCAGTGAGAAGATCGTGAACAGGCCGGCCTCCTGAGGGGCTAGAGACAGGCGTGGCTATGCTTGGTAGGTTTTCTCTTCCATAACTGGGCTTTGAGGATGAGCCCAGTGTGTCTGAAGTATCCTTAAACTAGAGTCATAAGGCCATGACCATGTGGTCTCATGAGGTCATGATGCGGGGGTGAATGTCACATGAACAGGGTCCCAGGGCCACAAAAGGAAAGGTACAGTCACTGTGCCTTCCCATCTCTTAGTCATTCTAGAGAGTGGGACAGGGAAAAACTGTGACAGAGAAGTAATCCTGAGTGTGACAGAGCTTGGAATGGCTCTTTCCATCAGTGAAGGGTCCCTGAGCGGGAGCGGGGGAGAGAGTCCCCTGAATAATCATGAATTCATCAGAAAATTACTGGACTGATTTTCTGCATCAGGCACAACAAGGGCGTGTTAGGAGGGAAGCCTGGTTCTTAGAGAAAGCAGGCTCCACTGGGTGCACCTTGCCTGACCTCAGAGCACCTGCAGCCTCCCATGCACTGGAAGACCTACACCAGCATGGCTGCAGAGAGCAATGCCCAGGGAAGGCACTGTGAAATTTCCGGAGTCTCTAGTGTCCGACGTCAGAGCAGAGGCCAGTCTTCCACTCAGCTTTAGCCCTCAGAACTATTTCTCCAAGAGCAAACATCTCAGAAGGCCCATACAGCCACGTCACTCTCTGCATAGTCCCATTTTGCCATCACTCACCATTACCTAACAGCCCACATCCCATAATAAGCAGTGCAAACTCTTTGCAAGAGTAGGAAGGAAGCCATTGCTAAGGGCCCTGTAGCTAAGGGCCCATGAATGCATGTGGGACCCACTTTCAGACCCTCCACTGGAAAACGGCCCTGCTGATCCGAGGCAGTACCCACACCAGTGCCCTCACCTCCTTCAAAGGCATCCCTGTCTCCAGAGCACCCTATCTCTCCTCTTCCCCAGCAGAAGTAAGCCTGGAAACTTCCTGCGGGGCCCTTAACTCTAAAATAATGGTGGGACAGAGCAGGATCAAGGCCACTTCTGGGGAGGGTTCCAGATATTTCTGTGCTGGGGAGCCATCCGTTTATGTCTGGAAGCAGCAGCTGAGGCAGGCAACAGACAGAGCACTGAGTCAGGAATCCAAAGGGCCAACTCTGGAACAGAAATGCAAGACCCTGAGCCTCAGTTTCCCCACCCATGAAATGGGAGTATTAAAGCACACTCTGACTGCCACTGAGAACAGTGAAAACTCTACCATTAACAGACAGGGAAACTGATGCCCACAGGAAGGGGCTGCATGACGGGCCCACTCACGAGCCTCGTGCTCTCTTCATTCCTCTCATTTCACGCTCTCAGAGGAGAGTCTCTGTTGTTTGGTACCCAGGATACTGCCCCTGTCACATTGAGCATTTGATTCAAATTAATTCAGACAGGAAGGTTTCGAAGCCACTTTGTCTTGTTTTGTTTAGCTCTGCTATCTGACCAAAAAAGGCTGCCAAAATCCTACCCACCCACAAGTCCTCACGGCTGCTCAGGCTCCGGTCCCCCCTCAGCACCCCTCCTCACCCATGCACCAGCTGACTTAGTCAGACTCACAAAGGTTCCAGGATATTGGCTCCAAAGCAGCACCACGCTTTCTCCCTCTAAGTTGCCAAGAGAACAAGGGGACACCTCCAAGGCCATGCCACTTACAGACAATCCTTAACAGTGACAACGGCAGGGCAATGACCTTCCTAGGAATCTCTCGTAGTAACATTTCAGCCCTGGCCTGCGACAGGCTCCACTGACTCCTGGACATAAATTACTTGTTCATTATCAGGCCTCGACACGGGGGAAGACGGCTGCAGCTTGATTGTGTCTGTGTCCTGTGGCAGGTATTTGCATGCTGGTGTGCTGCTGTCCGTGGTCCTGTTTTACATGGTCTGGCGCGGCAGCCTTCTTCATCATCATGCAGGCTCTAATCTTAAGTCCCCCACCAACTTCAAACTTCACCCCGGATGCCCAAGAGCCTTGGGAGCTGGATGGCAGGGAAGACACACACATCCACACATAAGTGCTCACAACAAGAAGCCAGGGGCAAGGGAATATGGAAGGTCAGCTCCATCACCAATGGGCACAGAGTCTGGCTTGACTTAAGAGCCCTTGCTATAAGCCAAGTGCTGTGCTAAGTAGATGTGTTAGTTAGTAGTGTGGTCATGTCTGTAACCCCAGTGCTGGGGGTTGGAGGGGCAGATAGATCTCAGAGTTCATTCACCAGTCTAGCCAACCAGTGAGCTCTGGGTTCCGTGAGAGACCCTGTCCCAAGAAGCGAAGCAGATACTCAGTGTCAGCCTCTGGTCTCTTACACATGCACAACTTATGTGCACAAACACACACACACACACAGAGAGAGAGAGAGAGAGAGAGAGAGAGAGAGAGAGAGAGGTATTAGTTGGAATCTTTTGGTTGCACATAATAGAAACCCAACCCCAAGCAGCTTGACAGAAAAGGGAAATGACACGCGCATTCATTCAAACAGGAAAAACAAGGTCCATTCTAGACTAAGATGATAGACCCTGCCCTGCATGACACACAACCAGTGTCACTCTCCCCACATCTCCAATTTCTCCTACTGATTCAGCTGTCCCCACAGCCCAAGACCGGAACTCTGTGTCAATGTAAAGCTGTCCCCACAGCCCAGGACCGGAACTCTGTGTCAATGTAAAGCCTACAACAGAGAAGAGAGAACCCTTATTTCCTCAGCTGCAGTAGAAAGTTTCCAAGGACACACTGATTGGCTCCATGTAGTCACATGATTTGGCCAGAGTAATTCAACACTGTGGCTTCCAACCATGAGAGCAATAAGGAGTCCTTCTCCAGAGAGAGGGAGACACTCAACAGGGCAGAAAAGCCACAGAGGTCACCCAGATGTTACGCCTCCCCATCCATTTGGCACCAGAGTCGATTTCCTTTCCAGGTGAGGAAACCGAGGCTTGGGCGAACGGAGTGATTGGCAGTGATCGCACAGCTACAAAGAGGCAGAGCAAGGGTCAAGTCCAGGCCAAGTGTGTTCCAAAGCCATGCACTTTATCCCCACTGGTGAAACACTAACTTGGCAAGCACATCAGTCTGAGGCAGTCTGGCCTAGAGAGAAGAGACATAAGGGAGAGTGGCATGGGCAGAATCTTCTCGATTCACAGGCCGGGTCTACGGCTTCTGATTGAGGCTTTGCTGTTCGCCCCAGGGACTCTTCGGGTGAAGGATAGGGCAGAGGAGGTCAAGGCATCAGCACTGGTCTGAGTGAGCTGTGACCTCAAGATCCCCCAAGGTCCACAGGTTCTCGTTTAGGTTCGGTCAAGCACGCTTCTTCTTTGCTATATGTCTCTCATCTGCTGGTGGTCCACTGCATGCAAAGGAGGTGGTCTGAAGGGAGAGGACAGAAAGACAAACAACCAAAAACAACAAAAATGCTCTGATGACGTCTAGCCACAAGTGCCAGAAAGGGAATCCTGCAACCTATGCACATTCCACAATGTCCCAAATCGTCACACCTGCCTCGGGTCATCAGGTGCCTGAAAAGCAGGGTGTTCTTTCTGTATTTTTGCCAATAGTTTCTGGGTAACTATCTCCCCACCCCAGTTCTTCTCCATCAGCTCTCCATGGAGTCAGCATGTCATACAATCCGAGGGCGGGGACCAGAGAGATTCAACACCCTGTTCTGTAGAGGAGGAAATTAATGCCCAGGAAGGACATGGCTTTCCCAAAGACACACAGCTAGTGTGTCATTTTAGTATTTTTAATATCAGTATCCAAATCTCTTCCCCAGTCAAAATGCCAATAGGGATTAGTCAGCTTTCTGCTGCTATGACAAAATCCCTGAGATAATCAACTTAGAAGGAAGAGGGGTTTGTTTGGTGCCCCTGACCCTCTCCTCCAGTGACCTAACTTCCTTTCACTGGGTCCTACCTCTTAAAGGGTCTATCACTTCCCAAGAAAGACACGGGCTATTCAACAAATGGATCTGTGGGGGACATTCAAAATCCAAACTACAACAAAAGCTTATTAAAATACATCTGTATGCATCTAGCATCTGCACAGGAAACACTAGGTGAGCAAAGACAAAACCAGGCGGTGGTGGTGCACGCCTTTAGTCCCAGCACTTGGGAGCCGAGATAGTAGGATCTCTGTGAGTTCAAGGCCAGCCTGGTCTACAGAGTGAGTTCCAGGACAGCCAGGGCTGCGCAGAGAATCCCTGTTTCGAAACAAAACAAAATAACAAAGACAAGAGCTGTGTACTATCCTGCTGTGAGTACACAGCAGCCTTCTTGGAGATGCCATTGGCTTTCTAATGCAAAGAGAAATTTTGGCTGAGAACCACAGTTACTGGGGAAACTTATAGGTTAGCTCCCCTGGACGCTGACTTGGGGTACACAGGGACACTGACCTGCCAATGTCTGGTCCAGAAGAACATGGTGTATGAGGATCCTGAGACGGGAGCAGTTTGCCCAGGCCTCTTCCATGGGGATGTGAATACAATGCTTCCTCGGCTCTTGTCAACGTCCCTGAGTGTCCAAAGCCTTCTCTTGTCCCCTGATGGAAGGGACAGCACCCGCCTCAGACCTCACCTACCAGCACTCCTGTGAATCAGTGCTTGCCAACTCATCCTCCCTCAACTAGTCCCAGAATCCTTAGAGACAGGGCCTGCTGAGTCTCCCTGCCTCTCCCGGCCCATCCTAACCCCGGCGTGGACAGCAGCTGATTAATGAGAATCTGAAGAATGGGTGCTGAAGAGATGGCTCGGTCAGAAAAGCGCTTGTTTTTATAAGCACGAGGACCTTAGTTTGACCCCCAGAACCTACATAAAAAGCAGGGCAGGGAGGTGCGCATGCTTGTGATTCGAGTACTGGACAGAGGGGGGTAAACAGACCCCTGGAGAGGTAGCAAGGCCTATTTGGTGAAGTTCAAAAACTAATGTGACTGACTCTCTCAAATGAGGAGTGGAAAGCATATGAGAACCAAGACTGGAGGTGTCCTCTGACCTCCACACATACTCACATTCTCTCTCTCTCTCTCTCTCTCTCTCTCTCTCTCTCTCTCTCTCTCTCTCTCACACACACACACACACACACACACACACACACACACACACACACACACAGAAGGCCCTAGGTCACCAGGGTCTCTGTTTCTAATCCAGGAGGACTGTAGTAAAGGCTGTTCCTGGCATCCTGCAAGACAGACATCTCTGCCTAGAAACCACCAAGGGGCAGCGAGGGCCAACGCTCTGTCGGATCCACCAACTCCTCAATCCCCAAGCAGAGGAGGCTGTCAGCATCTCATCTGCTATCACACAGAGTTCCCAAGAGCCACGCCCAGGGCGTAGCACACAGGAAGTGCTTGACTGAGCCTGCCGAGAGAATGAAGAAATTCACCGAAGGAAACTGACCAAGTGCGGGAGAAACAGCAGTGTTTGCTGAATGACACCCTGTGACGAGCCGTGTGTGTGTGTGTGTGTGTGTGTGTGTGTGTGTGTGTGTGTGTGTGTGTGTGTGTACACATGCGCGCGCGCGTACATGCTCTGGGGTAGGTTACCTCAGTTTAATACCAGACACCATCCCCAGGAAGTGGTAGATGATCCAAGCTCAGAGAGGGGAGGTGACAAGCCCGTCGTCATATCCACCCCCAGATAGCTGTCTGGTCTCCTCAGAGTCTGCACAGAGTGTGTCACGAGGGCAGACCTGACTTTCCTACTTAGCGCTGCCCCGCCAGGGTCCAACACTGTGCCTGGCTTAAAGGAGATGCCCCTGGGTGAGGACTTGAGACTGTTCTCGGTGGCAGTGAAGGGAGACAGAGCAGGAAAATCCCAGACTTGGTGGCCAGGGCCAGAAGGCACACAAGCTCCCCAGCCATGACTCTGGCCTCCCCCACACTGGTCCTACTGGGCAGGCTGCCCACAGTGGCCATGCCACCCTGGGTGGCTGGCGAAGGGTTTCAGCAGCCAGAGTCCCCGGGCCAAGCAAACCCCAAGGTCCCCAAACTTTCTACTTCCATAAAGTGCTCTGATCTTGTCAAATTGCTACCAGAGGAGTCATAGCTGAGTGAGCACTTGCCAGGTTCCCGCCGCTCTCCCGAGAGCTGTCACCATCCTCATCCATCATAATTGAAGCAGTCCACCTGCTCTGAGCCCATCCTTCAACCGCAGTGAGGGCTGAGATGCAAAAGATGGGTCTTGTCGTCACCTTGACTTTTTTCCCTGGAGAACGCAAAGGTCAGAAGGGATCTTGAGGCAGGTGAAGGTGGCATAATACAAGCCCCGACCTCCCCACCGTGGCCATCTGCCAACTTCCAGCTGCTTTCCTCCACCAGGACCAGAGCAAGCTAGAGGCTCCCTTCACTCCCAAACAGGTGCCCGCACCTGCCTGCCATCTTCAATTCCGCAGAAAGGTGGACCCAGTGGAGTCGTGGATTTGGAGTTGATTTCCATTGATACCTGGACTTGGAACCACCCTATGACACACTTGTACTGTCCCTCTTCCCAGTCGGTACCTTGGTCCCGATTATCCGAGAGGAGAATTGCTGATCACTGGTTTCCTGGCCTTGGGTTCCTAGACTAAGGCAGAGGGCATAGGTAGGAGCAGAGGAAGATGGACAGGCCTCAAGCTGCCCTTCTTCCCGGACTCTGGCCCCGCCCAGGCAGCAGCAGCATCTTCCTGAACCTGGTGCTGCCTGTTCACAGAGCTCTTGCTCTGAAGCTGCCAACAGCCCCATCTATGTGCCGAACAAACACCAAGAAGTTTGTGCCGGCACTGGAAGAAGCAGCAGTCCAAGGAGCAGCAGGGACGCCTAGGAGAATCAAGTTTAAGAAAAAATGTGTTTCTTAGCCATCTGAGATGTCCTAGAACACTAAAAGATGTCAAAGGAAGAACAAGCCGCCAGCCTGTGCTTCTGACCGTCCCCCTGCAGGCTCCTCCCTGTTCAAACATCTCTAGGCCTTAGCTGGCACTGTTTCTTCTCCTCCTCTGTTCCCTGCAGGACTCTCACTCTGCTGTCCTCTGGTTTGACAACCCATTTCCTGAGCACCTACTCTGTGCCTGGGCTAGAGATAACGCAAACCCTGTCCTAGCTCCCAGACCGTCACCCAGCATCTCCCTCCTTCCCACGGAGCACAGCCAGCCAGTGTCACATGACTGCACAGCCTTGTCCACCCCTCCCCTGAGGAATCACCTGCCCCTCTTCTGACATCTCTTAGAGAGTAGGGGACAGAGGTTGAAGTCCAGGGTGGACAGGATCACAAGGAAGTCCAGGCGGCGGCTCAGAGGAGCTTTGTCACAGACGCCAAGCATTTCCAGACTCACGAGAGGCCACTTCTGCACCGCAGGAGAGTCAGGTGCTGGCCCCTGATCACTGTGCCTCAGTCACAGATCGGTGACAGCAGGAAAATCCTAGTGGGTCCCAGCTCCTTGCTTTATCTCCACAGCTCAAACCCTAGCCTGCAGCTTAAAATTGTGGAACTGGAAACCAGAGGAGCCTCCTCTGCAGTGGAATTCTCATCTGAGAAAACTCATTATTCTCATTGGGGCCATGTCCTGGTCCACCTCTGCCCACCCAAAGGGGTGCCCACAGGATGGAAGATTAGAGTCCTCTTCCCTCTTCCCGTCCCCAGTGAGAGTCACTTCTAACCCAGCCCAGGAAAGAACCCCTGCCTCTAGGAGACCCAGAGACTCGAGAGTGTATTTTGGGGAGGGATGGAGAGTCAGAGCTGCAGTGACATGGGGGGCAGTATGGCCTGAAAGCCCTTCCATCCGGTCCTGGGAGGGGCATGGCAAGCCTAACATCAACGCCTAGAGCAAGACTGGAAACAAAGGAGACAGGTGGAGGTGAGGGATGGCAAGGGACACCTGTGACCCCGGCACTCGGGAAGCTGCCACAGGAGAGCCATAAAGTCAAGGCCAGTCTGAGATACATAGTGAGGCCCCGGCTCACACCCCAAATGAGAGAGGTAAGTGGGTGGGAGGGTGAGACAGGATCTGTGTAGAGACTTCCAAGTGCCGGCTCCACACCTTCCTTGTTGTGGTTGGTATGACTGACAGGCAGGGCTCAGCACATCTGCCAGACAGAAAATTCAGGGGAATCTGCAGTTTTTCTGAAATCCAGTTACCCCACTCTTGCTAAGAACCCCACTGGGAAGGAAAACCTGGGTGCTTGCTCCCATCTCATCTACCGAAACCAGACAGCTGCTGTGACTTCCAGCCTTAACCCCTCCACTAGGGCATCCCATGCGGTGGTCGAGAGAGTCGGCAGTCGGCAGTCAAGGGGGCCAAGATCCAGCTAGGCCCTTCCTGACTGGCTGGCCTGTGAGTCTGCTCAGCTTGTCTAGAAAACCACACTACTAGCAGGGCAGTGGTGGCACATGCCTTTAATCCCAGCACTCGGGAGACAGAGCCAGGCGGATCTCTGTGAGTTCAAGGCCAGCCTGGTCTACAGAGCAAGATCCAGGACAGGTACCAAAACTACACAGAGAAATTCTGTCTCAAAAAAAAGAAAGAAAGAAAGAAAGAAAGAAAGAAAGAAAGAAAGAAAGAAAGAAAGAAAGAAAGAAAGAAAGAAAGAAAAAGAAAGAAAGAAAGAAAGAATAGGAAACCACACTACTTCAAAGCTCTGTGTTAACGGTGAGGTGATGTCTGTGTAACTCTAGAATGCAGCAAACAATTCCCAAACACACACACACACACACACACACACACACACACACACACACACACACACACGAAAGGGACATTGTACCTGGCAGAGGGAAAACAGCATGGGCCTCAGTTTCCCCTATGCAGAAGAGCATTCTCCTTACTCAGTTGAATCGTGAGGATGAAGTGAGATTACCGAGGGCAGTGCTTGGCCGTGCAAATCTTACCACCATGACCACTGTCTCCATTTGACATTGCATCATCCCTCCTCTGGGATGCGCGACTGGTTAGTAGAGGAGCCGCAATCCAAGCCAGTTCTCACTCAAGTACAGCATCTGACCCCATGGCAGCTCTCAAGGCAAAGTCCACCCAAGCAGTCAGTCCCTCCACTGGCACCGAGAGGGAAGAGACTGAGGCACTGGGGTTTGGAAAAGTCCTCTTTGCGGGTTCACAGGCACTTGTGACCCCTCATCTTAGAACCTGCTACCTTCCCACCATTTCCAGAATGTATCTCAGACCCGGGCCCTGCTCTGCTGAGAGCCCCAGCGGGTCTGAGTTCAGAACTGTACTTAGTGGGGTTTACAAGGATCTACCCACTGGGCTCCCAAGGACCCTCCCCCATCATTCCCACCAGCACCACACCATCCACCTTCCCATTGCAGGCATCCTGCTCACGGTCCTCTGTGCCTGTGACTCTTTTCAACTATTCCAACTCAAGTCTCTTCAAGATGCCACACTCTGCTCCCTCCTCCACGAAGACTGCTCTTCTAGCACTTTACCGATGCCTGCTCAGGTCCCAGTTTCCTTCTGCCTGGGGTCCTGGCAGCCAATGTGCTCACTGAAGACAGGTAAGTCACCTCAGCTTCCCAGGACCCAAGAGAGTAATCCCTATTTTAGGCATAATTTCATGATAATAATTTTGTGTGGTTCTGTATCATTCTATGCTTTGAAAGGCACATTTCTATCAATTACCTTAGCTTTAATCTTAAATTGCTCCCCCCATGATGGTAGGCTAAATATCATCCCCATTTGATGGGTGAAGAAACCGAGGTT